CTCACTTCCCACTCCCCCCCGCCCCCCCCCCCCACCCCCCCCCCCCCCTCTTTCCTCCTCCTCCCATCTCCACGACCTGCTACTCGAAACCACCCCCTCCCTATGGCTCCCCCTACAAACCGGCGTTTCTCATCCCCCCCACTCCCTATTAACCTCTCCAGTCGTGTCACCTCAGCAGACGACCTTTGTACCCTCTTCTCCTCCTCCCCCTTTGATGTCATTCACAGGTTCCTCGACGGAGGGAGAGGAGGACACAGTGACACACACCACACACACACACACACACACACACACACACACACACACACACAACACACACAAAACACACACACCACACACACACACACACACACACACACACACACACACACACAACACACACCCCCACTCAACCCTGTCACATGACGTCCCACTCCAATTTAACCGAGACTCCGAACTACAATTGTGGAATTCGTCCGGGAGTCTGTCATCCATTCCTCGACTAGTATTAGTGTTGGAAGACAAAGAGAGAGAGAGAGAGGCGAGAAGCAGAAGGAGAGGGAGGAACGTAGGGAGAGAGGAGGGAGGGAGTCTGTGGGTTATTATAGTGAAATATGAAGCGGTGTGGATTCTAGGCTTCATGAAATTTCCATGAGCATTGATCTGATCTGATGTGGGTGATTGCTAGGTGAATCCCTCCAGTCCAGGGCTGTTGCTCATCTATTCATTTATTTATGGCAGTTATGTTTTACTGGCTTTGATTTGCTCTTCTGGAGAGCGACAGCTAAGGATTATAAATATACCTGTATGGGAGAGTGTGCTTTGAATCCTGGAGTGTACTGGCACAACACTGCTCCGTCCAGGCAGGGTTTTTCTTTCTTCCAGTACTAATTCTTGTTGTGAAATTTTAAATATTTAGCATTGATATAAGAACATAAAACACAGAGATAATCCCCAAAGAGACGCAGCCACGTAGTTAGCGGTGCACGTTGTCCCCCACATACTCCTCCTCTGGTTTATGGTCCTTGAAAATGAGCGGAGACAATATCGCTTCCTCTCTCAATTACCAAAAGTGTCTCTTTATTTGTAATAGGGGGTATCGCTGTATGACTTAGGGTTTTTATGCTATTGTTCACTCGAGGCTCATTTGGCGCATTGTGGAGAGAACTGATAAAAAATTCATCATAAAAACAAAAGCCTCTGAGAGAACAATCCCCTCCTCAGACTGCACGCCTAATCCAGGGCAAATCCTCCTTAAGGCTTTGGAGAGATCAGAGAATAGGGAAGTAATGTCAAATATTTGTCCTCGGAAATAATTCATACTTTATTTGTTGCATGTGATCATCTCATTGTTTTGGCTTATTTTATCAGTGGACCAGCTGGCCTGTAATGCGTGTCATTCTTCAGAAGTTGAGCCTGCCTCTGGCATCTCTTCCACTTTCTCTCCCCCGCTCTGTTTTGTCTTTGCTTCTAGCTATTCACCTTTCCTTTCTCTCACTCTTATGGATTACTGAAGTGTTCCTCTGGGAGAGCTGTCCAAATGCGTCTGTGGTGCCAAAACAGAGCAACACCGATTCCCTCTGCTTTGCTCTCTTTTGGGTTTGTGTGTTTTGAGCGAGCGACTCAGGAGGAGCCATGGTGAAGTCACTAGAGGTCCAGCAGGACAGCTTGTACTCATAGCCTCTAGGGGCCTTTTTTCTGGGGGCCGCCTAGTCAGCCTGGCTGCTCAGATGTGAGGCGAGCAGGGCATCAGCCCCCAGGAAACGTCCAAGCTGCGACCCACAGGGGAAACAGACGGACGCCACATCACATACAGACAATCCTCACGCACAACGGCTCCTTTTCTTTCCCTTGACAGAAACAAATGTACGGGATAAAGCCACAAACTGTAAACAGAAGCAGCTTCGTGTAGGCCGTAGCCGAGAAAGTAGTCAAGACTGTTATCCATGTTGTACATTGACTCCCCAGGCAACCCACAAAGAGGCACAGGGGGGAGGAGGGTACAAGACAGGGAAAGAGAGTAAGTTAGGAATGAATTATGTGGAGAGAGCACTTATCCAACAATCCTCCTCTGAAGTGTTTGTACTATGAGCCTCAGATCTTCATTGTATTTATTCTAATGTTTAAATATTCATGGTAAACCTTCTCATATTCAATTACCGTAGCACGACCACAGCATGCCGAGAGAGTGATTTCTCCCTGCTGCCTGGATGATCTGACTGTGTTTGTGTGTGTGTGTGTCTGTGTTTGTGCGTGAGTGTATGCGACCGCTTCTATGTGTGTCTGTGTGTGTGTTTAGCTTGTTCCCCGGAGCGATCAAGCCTTTGTTATATTGGAACCAGTCTCTGTAATTGCTTATATTAGTCGCTGATCAACGCAAGACCACAGGACACACACACACACAAACACACACACTCTGCCTGATTCCTGACAGTCTTTTTATTAACCACCAAAGCCGGCGACAGAGAGAGATTCATTACATCACAGGCAAACAAAGACACACACCAGACTTAATAGAGAACACCCACATTTCCACCGCTTTTAGTTTAATGTTGAAGTGTGAAAAAACCCTGCTTAATTCAGTCGTTTCTACCGTAGGAGAGAATCGCTCCTCCTGCTGAAGCGCTCGCACGCTGCTGAGCAGAAGGTGTTTGTCATTATTAAGAATCAAACACTAAAAGTTGTATTTCTCTTCCCTCTGTCTCTCTTTCTGCAGCGCTGAACGAGCCCACCATAGACTACGGCTTCCAGAGGTTACAGAAGGTCATCCCCAGACACCCCGGAGACCAAGAGAGATTACCCAAGGTACACTGCTCCGCTCCTCTCGTGTGTCCGGTTGCCACGTGCTATTATCTTCATAGGGATTTGTCTTGGTAACACTGGTAACAGCGAGAGATATTGACAACTCCTAGAGTTTCACAGCATGTACGGACAGACGTGGCACAAGGGCAGCGTGACCTCACATACAGAGGAATAACTGTGTGCTGCGGACAGTAAGCTATACATGACACTGTGCGGTACACACACACATTACATTTTATCATACGGTCATTTTCTGCCCAAACAAACACTTTATACTGCGTAGTGAGTGCACAAGCAACTCTATTCATCCTTCTAGTATAAGGTCATTTAGACTGGCAAAGTGGGAGAGGGAAGGGGAAGGATGGAGGGAGGGAAAAGAGGGAGGAAAGGAGGTTGAGGGGGAGAGAGGAAGAGAGAGGCAGAAGCAGGTTAGGTGATCCATCATAGCTGTCCAGTCTTACCTCCTGCTGGGTCAGTGGATCGAAGTCAACCCCTGGTGGACTTTATTACTTCCAGCACACACACACACACATTACACAGAAATGCACACACGCATTTCTTTGTGGCTGTTCACACACACTCGGCGGAGGGAAGTCACCATGAGGCAGAGATGGAGAGCCCAGGTAGATGCAGAAGGAAGATAGAGAAATCACTTGTCCGCGCCACGTGTCATGTCTGGCGGATACGAGGCTTGTCCCGGCCAGTTTCTGGTCTTTGGCCTATCAACCCCCCGTATCTCTCTAAATATCTTTGTATCCATCCTTCTCTTCTCCTCTCCTCCTCTTCCTCCCTCGCTCCGTGGTGTCTCTTCTCTCTTATTAATGAACAGCGGTAGCTGGCAGGCCCGGTTTCGTTCATTTCAGCTCTATTGATTTGTGCCTTTATTGAGGTAATAACAGTTTGTTGACCGCACTTCTCTCAACTGTTGGCCTCAATCATCCAAGAGAGGGGCAAGACACTGGCAACTTCTCCAGATACAAGTGTCCACTCTCGATCACTTTGGCAGAAGCCTCTCTGTGGTTGTTCTGTTTGTAATGGAGACTTAATTGATTGGGGATATAACGTAGTCTGTTCTAGTGGCACCTTTTTTCCTAATGAACCAACACTGAGCCAAAGCCTGTTCTATATCGCTGTATATTGTGGTAATGATCCAGTGTCCAGCTGAAACGGCCCCATACTGTGCTGCGGCTAATAGTAAGAGTCAGACTGCAGGCTGTGGTGGAGCTGGGGGTCTGGGGCCGGCTAATGAGTGACCGCCCTGCCAGACGAGGCCAGGCTCTGCTCTGGATCAGGTTCCCCTTCCTGTTGACGTCTCTGTGGGCCTGACTTTACGGGAAGAGACCCTGCGCCCAGGAAATGGTCTCCCCTTACAGCATCAGGGCAAGGGAGGCAGCTCGGCGCTAACCACATTTATCTGTTTATCAGAAGGACTCTGGAGCGCTGCCTAATCGCGTTTAGCTACCGGACAGATCCCTTTGCTAACGAGAGACTGATAGGTACAGACAGGGCACAGGACCACGAGAGAGTGATTAATAGAAAGGATGGGAGAGGAGAAGAGAAAGATGTCTAGTGATGAAGGTGAGGAGGAGACAAACAGGAAGTCCCGAAGCTACGAGACTCATAGTGAAGAAAAGACAATTTAGATGAAGTGACTGAGGTTCCACATGTCCTCCCTGCCCACCGTTACACTCCCGCTGCGGATACATTTGTGTCCTAATACCTCACACTTCCCTCATTTCCACTGCTCCTCCCTCACTTTCTCCCCCTCCCCTCCCTCCCATCATCCATCCATCCATCCATCTAGCAATCCCTGGGAGGCACGGGGCGTCGAGGAAAAGCATAGAGAAGGAAGCGAGGAGCGGTGCATACATACTAAAGAACCACTTACCTTCCCAGGGCCTCTACATCTCTCAATCACGCCGAGCAGGCCTCCTCTACCAGTCTCCCCTCTCTTCCGTCCCTCCTCCCTTCCTCCCTCCCCCCTGCCTCCCTCTCTGCCTCCCCCAGATAGTGCTAGTAATGGGAGGTTAACACAGAGGCAGCGCTCCCATTATTGAGTGAATTTAGCACCTCGGACAGCGCTCTACAATCTTTATTGCTTTGCTGACCCTCTCGTCATGTCCTGGGCGTGCTCGACAGCCTCCACAATGTGCGGGGCTAAGAGACTGTGTGTGTGTGTGTGTGTGTGTGTGTGTGTGTGTGTGTGTGTGTGCGTGCGCCTGCCTCTGTCTTGTCAGATTTAGGGGAGTTGCTACACTGTGTATTTAAGTGTTTAGGACGGCTATGAAGGATTATGCCTGTCTACTGCTTTCTGCAACTGGCCCTAAGTCTGCAAAGACTCTGCCAATCCCCCTGCACAGACGCTTAGCCACATACACGCACACGCACACAACAACACTTCGCTATGAGCCAAGGTAATCGCGCTGCTGCTCGCGGCATCAGCAGGGAATCAATCTTTCTAAACAAATAAGCATGCACACACACACAGACAGACTTGCACAGACAAACACACACACACACATGCCGAACAACACATAGCTATCAGCTGCGCTAAACGAGCCTGTGTCTCTTTTATCAGCGCTCCTCTGCTTCCCGGCTCTTTCTAGTTTTCCACGCTGTCGTGGCCCGGGGGGACGAGTCGCTCAGAGGATCAGGGAATCTTCATTAGCTCTAATTACATCAAACCAGATGAGAGATTAGAGGCCAAGGCAGAGCCCGTCAAGGAAAACCACTTTCACTCACACACACACCCTGCTGACAGCTCGCTGGGTAAAGCACAGGAGAGGTTTGAGTATTAAAGGTGAAAAGTGGAAAGGGTGGGAGGGGAGACATACGGGGTACAGTTAGAGACACAGGGTATTACTCAACAGGGGAAGGGAAGAGGGGCGGCATGGCAGCACGGGAAGGAGAGTGAGAGTGAGAGAAATAGATTGCCCTCGTCTCTGCCCACGCCCCGTAGTGTGTCTTCATCAGAGTTCAGCGAAGCAGCGCAGACAGGACTCGGAGGAGGAGGACGCTGTTAGAGGGGATGAAAGAGGAAGGAGAATGAAAAGCAGAGGACAGCGTTTTAGTGACGGAGGTGCAGAATTTTAGGGGTTGAGTCAGCAATTGGAAGCACTCGAGCGTAGCTGAGTCACTGCTCTCAGAGGTCCCCATCAATGTGTGTTATGGGCCGCAGAAAGACACAGCAACGAAAAACTGACCAAATAACGCTCACCACATTAGCCGCTTTCACATCAAGTACTTTGCGGTACTTATTCCCTGGGAACTGTCCTAGTAGATCGCGTTCACACCGGAATAAGTCCCTGAGGGAGGATTAGGCAAATGAAGCCGCTGACGTCACTTCTTCTTCTGCTTTGGATTTACTGGCAGGCCGCAAACAACTTCACGGCATATACTGCCTCCCGGAGTCCCCCGGAGTTGGGGACTGGCTTCAGTAGAAGCTGATGGGTAGCGTCTTCCGAGTAAAGCGCCAGAAGCGCCAACACCTCCTCATCACTACACCGCTCCCATGTTTTGTGTTGCCATAAGTTAGTCTCTCTCCATTGGTGCTCTGGGCTTATGCTAATAATGCTAATGCGAGCAAATAAAATGGTGTTTTTTTTACGGGGCGTGGTTTGCAATTCGCCCAGCCAATCATAAATTGGAACCTTTTTCTTTCCAGGAAAGGGGTGAAAAGGTTCGTAAAAAAAAGTTCTAGTTCCAGATCTTTTTGGTGTGAACACAAAATCCCAGGAACTATCGGAACTATTCCTGGGAAAAGTACTCCGGTGTGANAGTCGGTGGGGGTGTTGTATATGTGTGTGTGTGTGTGTGTGTGTGTGTGTGTGTGGTGGGGGGGAGGAGCAGCTCTCATCTGTGTGAGGGTGAGGGGGGGAGAACCCCCCCTCACCCTCACACAGATGAGAGCTGCTCCTCCCCCCCACCACACACACACACACACACACACACACACACACATATACAACACCCCCACCGACTACTCACAATCCAGATCAATACCTTACAATCTAATTTTTATCCATTTTTCCATAAACCTAGAGATTGCGTTTATTTGCAGAATCCGACAAGCTAAATAAAGCATCGCTTGAACATGTCAGGGAGACTAATGCATGGCTGGAAATTCATACACAGAAAACAGATGAGTGGAGCTTTTTCCTCCTAAAGGAAGGGAGAGGCTAAGGGTAGAAGGAGAGGATGGAGGAGGAGGAGGAGGAGGAGGAGGAGGAGGGGAGACGCTAAGAGATTCTACAAATCAATGGAGGTGTGGATGCTACCACAACTTAAGCTCTAATTATCTGTTGAAAAAGTGCATGTCGACAGTTAACAATACTTGACAGCACTGTGAGAACGCAGAACCTGAACATCCGAGGGGAAAAAGTGTGCGCTTGAATTAAAATATAAGAAAACATAAGAAATCCTCCCCCCCGGTGAACGTCGCTCATTTCAGTGGGGTATAAAATAATTTTCGTTTCGAAATTCATTTACATCATCATCATGGACCAGATGCTCCTGTAATAAGAACGGAGCGCGCTAAAGAGGCAAGACAAGCCACATGGTGCAGAAAATTAATCTCAATCTCAAATAGAGGTGTGCATTTCCTCACTGTTCAGACTGTGTGCAGTAAACGTGGATGTGTGCTGCTATCTCAGCTGGCCCCGTCTCCAGCTGGAGACCGGCCGTTTTAATCAACGGCAGGCCTCCACCCAAGCTCAATAAAAGACAGCATTCACAAATAGGAGCAAGACAAGTAATTGACCAGCGCGCGGTTGCACCCCACTTTTATTGCCGGATGACTGCATGCTGCATTTGTGTGTTGGTGAATGTGCTTGTTCACGTGTGTGGGTGTATCTCATCTGAATGTAGAATATGTTTGTAAATCTGTGTTAACAACAGATTTTTCTACTGATTCTGCAAATTGCACCAACATCATTATGTCCACACAATCAGCATCGGCTATATTACCAATTTGAAGTGCTCTTCTTGGCATAGTAATCTTTCTCAGCTGTGTGTGACAAGCATATTTAATTACATATTGATTCAAAAAAACTTTACTGATCATGGGAATGTTTTCACCTGGGGCATTGTCTGTGTTTCCCCGCTGTGTCTGCAGTGTGTAGAGTGACAGACAACTGACAGCCCTTCTTCCACTCCTTAAAACTCATTTGGATCTCAGAGGCGGAGAGACTTCAGCAGCATCCCGCCTGGTTTAAATTCTGCTCTTGACTTTTGTCTTTCACCTCACTTTTCCTGCTCCTCCTCGCGCCGACTGACTGATGTTTCCTACACACCTAATCTGCACTCAGCGCTGAAAAACTACCCCTAATGTTTGTGCGTGTGTGCGGATGCGTGTCGGTGCGCACGGTGCCGGCCTTAATGTGAGCCAGCAGAGCCTTTTAATATCAGCCAACGCTGTAGCGGGAGCACTAAGCAGACAAGGCTGCATACTGAGGAGGGAGGGATTGCCTTTTGAACGACAAGGGTGATTCATCAACTCCCCCAATCTATGGCCGGTATCCCTGCGTCACACACACACAAACACACAAACACACACACACACACACACACACACACACACACACACACACACACACACACACACACACACACACACACACACACACACACAACACACACACACACACACACACACATCCCTACGGGCCCTGGTGGCACATATTATAACTCTATATAGCGTTGCGTAAAGAAAAGAGAGAGCACCTCTGATGAATGTCACTAAGACAGCAATCCAGTATGAGGTGATACACAACCAAACATGGAAAGGCATTTGTACAGGGGAGACTGGGGAGAAGGGGGGGTGGGCAATGACCTGATAATGAGAGATAGAAAGAGGGAGAAAGAGAGGGAGATTAGGGAGAGCTCTCAGCCCCAGAGGTGGGTAAGGCAGAGGGCAGGGAGAGGAACAGAAGGGGGATAAGGGGATACAAAGACAGAGGGAAGAGCAAGAAAAAAAACACATTCTTATATTCTTATCAGTGGAGAGCTTAATTGCCTTTGATGAGTCTAATTGGAGCTTTCTGAAGTCTAATGGCAGAGGAGTCCTCAGAGACGGCAGAGGACATATTACTGTAATAGCTTCTCTCCGAACCTCCTCTGCACCAAAAGTCCCTCGCTTGTCTCCTCCGTCCTGAACTGAGGCTGAAATGTTTCCATTCAGCGCCGGCCAGTTGTGGAGTATCAATGATCCGGCAGAGAGAGGAGGGTGGAGGGTGGAGGGTGGAGGGGAGGTAAACGTATAGATGTGTGTGTGTATGTTTGCAAAGTAGCGGTAGCAGCATTATTGGGTATGTGTTGACTTAATTAGGTCTGTGAGCAGCTCGCTTTCCTCTCCTCAGCTGAAGTTGATTAGCAATGCCAGCTGTCCCCAATGTAATTCGCCGAGCGCACGTGTGTGTGTGATCGTGCGTGCACATGTAATATACGAGTGTATGCACGTCCGCCAGTGTTGATGTGTGTGCGCGCTAGCTGCCAGCTGCCACGCGGTGCTGCCAATCCTCCATGATTAGTACCCACTGGCAACTGGGCTCAAACTGGTGCCAAACAGACCCAGGAGGGCAACATGGCCCATGGTAATCCTCCATCCCTCTCTCCCATCCTTCTCCTCTCCTCCCTTTCTCACCCACCTCTCTCCACACTCTCATCAATTGCATTTGTTATGCTCCAAATGCTCAGCTCATCCTCTCATTCCAGACACCAAATGTGAGCAGATTTTTTCCTGCTAGATGAACGCGAAATCCTAAAAAAAGGGGGAAGATAAAGGAGCAGTGGGAGAGATACAAATACCTGCTGAGGGTGCAGAGCGGGGTCTGAAGTGAAGTGTGTGAAGAGTAGAAGTGGGATCTATGCCTCGACACGGTTGACTGTGTCACCGTGAAGGTGCCAGCAGCTTGGCAAGCATGCAGCACGGTGTGTGTATCTGTGTGTGTGTGTGTGTGTTTGGCTTCCACTGGATGACCTCTTGCTACCCCTCACCTGTTGAGATTTTTCTATCCGTGGGAGCCAAAAGGCAGCGAGATAGAGAGCGCAGAGAGAGGGGGGATGAATTCATCCAAAGAAGCAAGTTTTGAATAAGTGAATGTGACAAGGGGAAAGAGAGGAGGGCTGGGAAGAGATAGGGCGTTTATGCATACGGTTCCCACATGTCTGGCACATTAAAAGGCTGTGCACACACATCTCCACACGCCGATGTACACACAGCTCTGCGAGTTTGGCAGAGAGAGGGCTGTTGGACAGCTCTGGCATGGCAAAGGCGGCCTACCCATCTGCCCTCTGTCTTAGTAATGCAGTTACTTGTCAACGTGCATGTGTGTGCTTGAAATACATTCACACGTACGTACATACAAACAAACACAGGCGGCCTTCCTCGCAGCCTTTCCTCGTAAGTACACAAACACAGAGTCATAATTATGACGCATTGGACATGGATTCTGTCCATGCCCAGTAATTAGGACACACACAAGATGCAGAGAAAATGCATGGCGATGTGACGCACACGCTCGCTCTCAATTGTGATTTTGTCAAATGTTGGCAATTCCAGCCGGGGGTTTACAGCCTAAGTCTATCAGTGGTTGAGATTACAGACAGATTTATGTGATTCACAACGTCCCCGGGGACCTGTGGCCTCGCATTGGTTAATCACCGCTTCGCATTCACTCTTTCTGCCGCTCTTTTCACCGCGTGGCTATAACTCTGCACCGATACACGCTCTGATGTAACACTCGGGGTTTGCGTGCCTCTGCGCTCGCTGTCAAAAATCACACTCTCCTCCTGGATCGCGCCTTCGACAGGGTTAAATCTCAATAATCCCTCTAATCAAAAGGTTAAACCTCCTCCTGACCTTCGCCTGCTTCATAAAAAGAGGGCAAACACTTTTCCTCCTCTGATCAGTAAAGGCTTTTGCAGTGAATTATTGAGTCGTGTTATTCAATTTTAAGTTGCTTAGCATGCACATTTTTCTCCAGAAACGGTGTGAAGAAATTGACGGCTCGTGAGCTGCACCAGGTTACTTTCAGCAGATATTGCAAATATGCAGTCAAAACAATAAAAAAGTTATTTATGTGATTATAGCTGTTATTTACATCTAAAAGGCAGGTGGAAATAAGAGCATCAAGGAGAAAATTGTTGTAAAAAAAACAGCAGTTTGGAAGTTTGGGCTACATTATCTCTGTTAATGAGTGTCATTAGTAAGTGTTAGTAAGTGCGTAGTACCTGTGTAGATGAAGCGTCCAGGTGTGCCTTTGCAGAACTGTTTGGATTTGTAGGACAGCGTGACCTCCACCACCCCGGGGATGTGTCTGGGTGGAGTTTGCACACGGATGGCATGGGGGGTGATCAGCTACGGAGAGGCAGAGAGGGCAGAAAGATTAATGCAATGAAATTTAATATCCAAACATGTGCTCGGGGGAGCGTTCTGGGCCTGCCTCAGACCTTTCCCTTTGCAGCTTTTGACTCTCTTTTCTTTGTATAATCAGCCTGAAAATGATGTGTTAGCGCTAAAGCCCTCAGGTGGCCTCGTAGCCTGAGGCAATGTCACTGTGAGGTTTCGGATGGTTATCAGTGCTGACATGGACTGTGTGAGAGGGGTTCAAAAGCAGTTATCTGTGTATGAATAAAACACACCTTCCTGTGCATACATCTATTACGCGGTATAAGTAAACATATAATATGCTCGTCTCTGCTGCCCCTGTCTCTGTGTCTGTCAGCTGAGGCTGTCGAGCTGCCGTTAAAGCGCTATTGTGTCGTAAACAGGCTCACTTAGTGCGGCTGATGTGCCCATGTATGTCTGTGTGTGTGTGTGTGTGTGTGTGTGTGTGTGTGTGTGTGTGTGTGTGTGTGTGTGTGTGTGTGTGTGTGTGTGTGTGTGTGTGTGTGTGTGTGTGTGTGTGTGTGTGTGTGTGTGTGTGTGTGTGTTTGTGTGTATGTCTGTGTGTTTGTGTGTATGTCTGTGTGTGTGCTGAAAGGTCTTTGAAGGAAAACGGTATTAAGACAAAACACAAATGAGACCTCACTGAGTGCTCGTTTTCTGCACGCTATAGTCAACTAGCACTCAAAGCTAGCAGCGCTCAAAAGCTATCAATGCCTGTGCCAGCAGCTATAGTGTATGTGCGTGTGTGTATGTGTGTGTTGTTATAACTATCCCTTTCATTGCTCACTTAGCTATGCTTTCATTCCACCATTGTCTGGCCCCATTCACCTCTCAGCGAGATAATATAGGAGCTTTTTATAGAATTATTCCTTTACTAAAGAGAAAGCTGTTTAGCTGCGCCGCTCGCTGACCTTCAATTTCACACATACACTACATTTACATTTTAGTCATGTGGCAGATGCTCCTTACAAAGAGATTCATACAGTACGGTGTGCACATATTCCAAGAAGGTAGATGCTAACATAATAAAAGACAGGAAGGGAGATGAGAAGGGATATGACTAAAATAATAACTGGTACAGAGAGAAATGAGAAAGCAGGCTGTTAGGACTGTTGAATATTTTTGATATGGGTTTACAGTAGAGAAGCAATTAGTGATCATTGCCATTATTAATTCAGTCATTTGACCTCAAATGGATGCAATTTACACGGATGTGAAACTCAGAAATGAGGAACATTTTCACATTTGAGAAGCTAAAGCCAACTACCGGTAATGTCATGTTATTTGAAATTACTTTAATATTCTGTTCATTAAGAATTCATTGATTAAGTCCTAGTTTACCACGGTTGTTCCCAACGTGGTCTCAATAATACCCCCTTGGGATACCAAGATACTGTAGGAGAAGATCATTAAAGTGTTAGGAAAGGATATCTTTTTGTTACACACTATACAGTATGTATACATCTTTGGACTTTTTTTCTTTTGTTTCTACCTATTATACCCATAAAAGGCATTCACATCAAACATAAAAGGTGTGCCTTCAACTTATGCCTGTGAGATGTGGGCTGCAAACAGGCCTATGTTTTAGGTTGGCCCCAAGCTAAAGAGATTGGGAACAGTTGGCTTTTGAAGTAGGAAAACCAATATTTGGTGGTCAGGATGCAAAAATATGAAACACACACCGATGACCAGATGGTGACTAACCTCGCTCCAGACCAGCATTGTTCCGAAGATGACCTGCAGCCCGTCGAAGAAGTTGTCCCCGATGATGATGACGGTAGCGCCCCCTGTGGTCCAGCCTTCACTGGGGCTGATGGCTTTGATGCTGGGGGTCGCTGCAAGAGTCACAGACAACATAGATTAGATGGTAACCGACCTAATGACAGCCCATAAAGGTCTTTGCTATTGCCATAATGTACGCTCGCCTCCTCTTCTCCATCTCTCTCTCACACACACATCACCTCTCTCCTCTCTCCCAGGGGTCAGGGTGTGAGCGAGGAATACTAATCAGAGTGATTATACGCACCCCGTTATTAAACATCACCCCTGCCCTGTGTGCAAGGGCTGCTGCGGTGCGCTTGTTTTATGACACGTGGCAAAGCGTGCGGGCGTGTAAATGTCAGGTGTGCTGAGTGTCTGATCAAAGGCCACGCGAGCGGGGAGCGGAGCAGAGCCAACAGTCGCTCTGCCCTGTGAATACGCCGCCTTCATTAACCAAACACTTCGCCCTCGCTCAGCTGTCTGTTTTTATATATCCGTGCGGCTACTGTATCTCAGCGCCTGTGGCCGCAGAGCACGTGACTGGACGGGGTCATTTCAGCTCTGGCTCGGATATTCGTAATGCATTTTGTAAGCTTTCAATGTTTTCTCTCAAAAACATATTATTTATCGGGTACATGGAATGACAACAATAAACCGCATTTCCAATAACTGGTATTCCATGTGCTTTTTGGCCTTATCTGTTGGTATTATGGACTTGGAGATTACTGGATGTGATTGAAGAAAAGAACAGCATTGGGAAAATACATGTTTATACAAGCTAAATCTCCTCTCCTTAACAGATATGCAGCTTGTCAGACATGCTGTAATTCTGTAAAGCGGCATAATCCACTTTAGACTAGGCTGACTTTTTCCCCCCTGCAGCCTAGCATTTGCTCTTTGCCCGACTCCCTGTTCTGTTGATCCCCCTCAACAAGCTGGAATGATATTTAGCCCCTCGATACGCCTGCAGAGATCAACGTTCACCAAGCAGCAATCTGTGGCCGTAATCATGGCCTAAGATGCCTCCTTTTCACAGCCGCTGATATTATGTGTGCTCCATGTGCATGTGTGTTTGTGTGTGTGTGGATTAACCAGATGGTGGAACGTGAATCCACGTGATAGGATTATACTTTGGGGTGTTCCTCGGTGCCATCTGTTCAACTTTATGCCCCGCTCATCTATTACCGCCTGAAATGGGCCCCCAAAGTTATGTATCCGAGCACACAACCTCGAAACACACTAGAGAAAGAAATAAAGCCTTTCTCCGGATCGTTTAATCTTTTCTTTATAGTATAATGCACTTTTACCCTTTCCTCTCATTGTTCCTACCTCTACCCCCTCTGTGTTTTTCTTTCACTCCTCTTGTTCCTACTTCACACAGCTGATGTCAGGAGAGTAAAAAGTCAGAGGAGGAAATTCTCAAACAAATCTCTCTGACACAGGGGACATCTGTTAGAATACTGTGAGTGCTCTCCTCTCTGTGTAAGATCCATGGCTCGCTGACGTCTCCAATATGTCTGTTAACTTTTCAAATCGTCTGTCATAGGGACAAGTGGTCCCCCTTTACCTCTGGAGAATGGTCATTAGAAAGACTTAAACATAACATTCAATCTTAATGCAATCTACTGTCGGCCATCATGTAAATCCCTTCTTAGTTTTTTGTCATTATCATCCCTGAGGTTGACTTTCCTCAAAGCAAAAAAAAAAAAATGTTTCTCTTATTCAATGTCTGGGAAATCGAAATGAGAAAATAACTGGATTAGGGACTTGGGAATCAGTGCGGGCTCCTAAATCATGTGCACATGTCATTATGAAGTATTAAAGGTTTGGGTCTGACTGTGCATGCGGGGGTGTGTATGTGTGTGCATGGGCTTTTTTGAAAACCTGAGGGATGGGGAGCGATGGAGGGCTGGAGGATAAAAGCAGGTCTCCGAGGAAATAAAGCCAGTGTTGGCTTTAAGCAGAACAGACCTCATAAGACACATAGTGCTTATGCGAGGCAGAGTAGAAGGCCCAGAGGCAGAGACCTGGGGGGAGCAAGCCACAAGGGAGAGACGAGAGACTCACTAGCTACCACTCTCTCTTAGCCCGAGCAAGAAACCCTACAAGGGAGGAAAGTGAGAATCCGGGAGGAAGCAGGAGAGAGATAAGAAAGCAGGTTTGAGAGGGATAGAGCGCAGACAGAAGAGGGGTTGAGTGCAGAGTCAGACGAGGGGGAAGGGGTGAGGGAGGGAGGGGAGTTGAACAAAAAGAGAGAGAAAGTAAGGAAGACAAAGAAAAGCTTGGTGAGAGGGCCTGGGTGTTTTGCTGCTGCTGTTAATACCGTGTTCCAGGTAGGACTGAGTCCCTTCCGAGGGGTCCAGTTTTCGGGCCCGGCGTCCGTGTTTGGAGTTGTTGTGCACAAACATGTTGTCGGACACGGCCAGGACGTGACCTTCCACGCTCACCGTAGTCGACACAACCACCTGGGAAATGAAAAGATTGAAGGAAATATTAAAACTACGTTAAACTCCTCAGTTTTGACACTGATTTAGCGAACATAGACACATAGACAGGAGACGTGTTCCTGGCCACTTGGTGAATGTAGTCCTTATACGTTTTTGGCTCTTTAGCTGTGAAATACTTCAATATGTTTGTCCACCAGCTTTGGCTGTTTAGTGCTGGTCAGGTAGCGTACAGTGAGCTTTTAAATGACTGTGAGAGCTTTAAGAGTAAAGCAAAATAATAAAGTTGCGTGCCAGTAAATACAAAAAACAGGATGGTGTTAATTTTTTATGAGAATTCTATTTGTCATATTGTAATGTTGCTGCTCTCTGGATTCCTCCCTCGGAAATCCAAGAGTGCATTTATGTGAGAGACCCTGCTAATGCTTGAGCTGGGAGGTTATGCTTTTGCCATGTTGGATTTTTTTCCAAAAAACATGTGAGAGACAGTGGTGTGTACCTGTGCATCACATACTGTATGCACATATGCAGTTGAGTCTCACCTGAAAACGCCTCATGTCCCGAGGGTTCCCTGCATTCTTCAGGCAGTTCTGGTTACACTTCAGGAAGAACTTGAGGAAGAACCTGCATATGTCAAGAAAAAGAGAGAAACAAATGTGTTAGTGAAAGAGAAGCTGTCTGTCACTGGAAGTACAGTATGAGCTACTTCAATAAAACACAAGGTACAAATAAAACTAATAAACCAGCAGTGGCAGACGCGGCTCATACACTGTCCCACCGTCATCCATCATTTGTTTATGACAAAGGGTGTTTGCAATGTAAAAACAGCTCGGGGATATTGAGTAAGATGCTACCTTGTATATCCATCTCCGTGCTGCTCGCCATAAACTCACCGGGGCAGACGCAGCCCCAGAACACCCC